TCGAACCCTTTTAGCAGTAGCAAAGCAGTGCCGCCGTCCCACATCAGTCTCCCTCCCTTGGAATCAAAAGACATCCTATTCGCCCTGTCCTCCGGGAGGGAAGTCGAGACCCGCGCAAAGGTTATGTTGTCCGCTGATCCAGCTTTGAATCCAGACAGTTATGCGGTTATAGCATTCTTCCCTGCTGACTACCATATTTTTTACACTGGAGCAAGATTCACTGAAGAAGGACGAAGTATTTGGCGTGACCATCGAAATGCATCATTTCAGTTTTATGACGCTATTTTTTACAAAGGCCTCGTCTATGCAGCTGATCACTTTCGTGGGTCGATTATTCCCTGGTGACGTCAGCGTGATGCAGTCTCCAACACGTGGAAGCCACGTGTCACGCCCCCAGTGTTCCGATATGCTTTTCCGAATCCAATCCAACGGCTGACATTTTTTTGGCAATAAAATTATGAAAAAAAATTGAAATTTAAAAAAAAAATACTAAAAACTTCTGATTTTTTTTTCTCTATAAATACCTATCAATACCCTTTACTTTCAACACCAATCCTCATACATTTTATTCTACTTCTACTATTATTCACTCTTTACTCAACATTTTCCTCTCTTTCACCTTATATTTTTATTTCTTATTTTTATAGCTTCTTCTATCGAAACCGCCTTCATTGTCCACCAATACAAAGCAATTGGCACAACTAACATAACCATAAAAAAGTATTTTGTTGTTTATATCTACTAATGAGCAATTTGACCATGGAAGATGTTTCCTTGTGTGAGGCTTCCAAATTTGTCATTGTCCCGTGTCAGGCAATGAGATGAAATTTTTTCATATGTTAAAAAAAATTCATGCCGGGGTCGACTCGTACGGAAATGACATTATCTAGTAGGTGGAAAATTCTCAATAAAGAATTGGGAAAATGGAGAGATGCCTTGTCAAAAGCGATGCACAACTATAGAAGCGGGGAAAATCGTACTAACGAGGTAAGTATTTTGTAATTTTCGTTTTGTTAAGTTTAATGTCCTAATGTATATATTTTGTTAATATTTATTGCATTTTAAATATTTTGTTAATATCTCTTGGATTTTAAATATTTTGTTAATATTTCTTGCATTTCCAATTGTTTCTTAATATTTCTTGCACTTCCAATTTATTTATAAGGTTAATTGAATTTTCATTTTTTTTTTGTTACTTGCATATCCAATATATTTTAAATATTTCTTGCATTTTCATTTTTTTGTTAAATAGATTATTCAAGCACAGATGTGGTTCGGTGCAACTGAGGGTGGTAAAAAAAGTTTCACCATCATAAATGTTGGGAGGTGGTGAAATATTGCAAACGCTTCATAATTATTCCCACGGGTCCCGAGGTTATGTTAAACTAGACGTCACTCCGTAATTCAATGCCATCGGATTAACCTATCGATTCCCCTATGAGTCAAGACTCACCCATCGAAAAGGAGCCGAGGCCCATTGGCCGAAAGGCTACGAAAGCAAAGAAAGCGGGTAATTCAAGCAATAATAATTCAAAGTTTTTGGAGGAAATTGCAAGGCAGAACGCCGTAAGAATTGAAATGGAGCAGAAACGCCAAGAGAACGAGATGGCAATTGAAGCCGAGTATGCACGAGAAATGGAGTATTTGCGCAAAAAAGATATGGACAAGACGGATCGGGAAACCATGGCGATGGACACAAGCCATATGTCCCCTGAAACAAAACAATTTTGGAAGCTAGAACGAAGGGATGTTATGAGAAGAAGACTTTTTCGGAATGATGGGCCTAGCAACACGGATTGGTTAAATGATGAAAACCATTAAATTAGTTGGCATACCTTTTATGTATTTGTATCTTTCATGTTTTCTATTAAAGTTGTTGTAATTCATGTATTTTATTTTAGTAGTAGTAATTCTTAATGACTTGTATTGGATTTCTTTATTTAATAAACAAAGTATTCAATAAAATACCTTTTTATTCAACATATTCTATACATCAAACAAAACATAATTAAAAAAAAAAACTACAAACAAAGCACAATAATAATAACAAACCATAACCAAACCATAATAAATAAATAAACAACACAATTAAACCATAAACTAAATAAAACATAACCAAAGCATTTATGCTCCATCATTCATCTTCATTGTCTTTCACAGCCCATAGATGCTCCATCAAGTCAACTTGACGTCTGTCATGAATATACGAAGATTGCATTTCTGTACATCGATCTATCATCCGGGTCATGAAAACGACCATCCTTCACCAACGGTTCCAGCTCAAACGGTTCTCCACTTGGCCCCATAGGCCTTTCATAAATCTGTGTCAAGGCCGTGTTCATTGGATCCAGTTCGTAGACCTCTAAAGCATCATAATTGTACTCATCCTCCACAATCATATTATGGAGGATGATGCAAGTCATCATAATGCTTCTGAGGATCTCCTCATCAAACATACGGGCCGCACCTCGAATAATCAACCACCGAGCTTGAAGGATGCCAAAACATTTTTCAACATCTTTTCTGTATCCTTCTTGATATGTAGCAAATAATTTTTGCTTTTGGGATCGGGGATTCGAAATGGATTTGACAAAAGTGGTCCACCTCGGGTAGATGCCGTCAACTAGATAATACCCCATCTGGTAGACTGTATTGTTGACTTGATAGGTGATATTGGGGTCTTGGCCTCTCAATACATCGTTGTAGACTGGGGATTGACCCAACACGTTGAGGTCATTTTGGGATCCGGCAACTCCAAAGAAGGCATGCCAAACCCATGTGTCAAAGCCAGCAACAGCTTCCATTGCCAGTGCATGCAGTCGATGTTATCAATCATTCCTGGAAATCCTAGAGCTTCGATTTTTTGTAGAAGCCGTTGGAGGTCCCTGGGAGTAGGTCTATGCAGGTAGTCCCTAGTGTACAAAGTTTCAACTGCATTACAAAATCTTACCAAAGCCTCCAACGTAGTGGACTTCCCCATCCAGACAATCTCATCCACCTAATCAGCAGATGCTCCATACGCCAACATTCGTATAATAGTTGTAAGCTTTTGCTCCAGAAGAAGCCTCAAAACCCCAGCGGCATCACACTTTTGAATAAAGTATGCATCATAATTGCAAATATCATGCATGACTTTATTGAACAAATGGGATTGCATTCTAAATTGCTTTAGAAAATCAACATCATAGTACAAAGAAGTTGGCATAAAATAATCTTCCAAAAGATTCTTATCCCGAGAATACCTATGTCTGTCTACATTCCAGTGGCGGCCGACTTGTGAACCACAACGGCGACCTTGGTTCTCTTCATCTTGCAAAGCCACTGCTATGACAACTTGTTCATCGACTTGTCTCTGCAACTCATTGATTTTATCTGCTCTACGGTTTCTCTCATTTGTTTCTCGCTCTTGCCTCTCCAAGCATTTCCTAAAATCTTTCATTGAGAATGAATTGAGTATAAATTCTAAACTCTGAGAAATAAAAATATAGAAAGATGTAGTGTGAGAGGTATGAGCTGAGCCTCTAGTTTTATAGAAAATTTTGGCAAGATAGAGATGCCACGTGGCTTGATTTGATTGGATGAAAATCTTATCTGAAATTTGAAATTCATCCGAAATTTAAACCCAAATTTATCTGAATTTTGAATTTTGAAATTCATCCGAAATTTGAACCCAAAAATCTTATCCGGAAATTTTATCCGATTATAAATAGTCTTGACACGTAGGAACCTGGAAATCTTATCCGAAAATATTATCCAAATTAATTATTAAGATAAAAAAATTTATGAAAAAAACAAAAAAATAAATAGTAATTGCCCTTAGTCATGGCAATGGGTGGAAACACAAAATACTATTTGCAAGGGCAACCACTATTCACGTAAATAGTGACTGCCTTAACTCCCCTCTTGCTATGGCTAAGGGCAAATGAGTGGAATTGCTCTTATATGTGTCAAAACTCACCATGGATCACATCCCATTCGTAAAGGGTTTAGTTAAAAGCCATTACTCATGCACTCGAAAATCATGCCTACTCCCAATATTACTTGTGTAAAAAACAAAATAAAAACTAAACATATTATTTATTTATTTATTCTAATCTTGCAAAAAGACTTATTCTTTAATAAATTGGGCATGTAGAGTATATTATTATGTAAAGTATGCATGCATTAAAAGGAAAGAAATAACATCGAACCTAATAATAGTTTAATCTCAAGGTATGCTAAGTCTCCTTTTCATGTTATTCTCAAGGTATGCTAAGTCTCCTTTTCATGTGAGGCAATTTGTGGAGAAATTATAGAATAGTACGGATATACCACGTCAGCGTATGATACTCCCATTCAAATTTTAACACGTGTCTATTTTTGAAAAGAAATTAATTACTTTATTACAGCAAGACTTACTTAACTATTATCTTTTAAAATAAAATTAGAAAAGTCTTAAAAAAGAAAATTAAAGAATTTTCCATCCGTCTCTAACTCAAACCTGCGCCACCCCTCTCCTCCCTTGCTCTTCCTATCAAATTCCTAGGGTGGCGCACCTTCAAAGTATGCTTCAACTCAATCCACATCGGCTGTGCCTTCCATTGATTTTGTGTTGCAGAGTGAGAGTGTACTAGAGAGTGTGTGTGTAGCAAATTCAAAATTCAATGGTGCAAGCGAACAAAGATGTGCTGTGTTTGGGATTTGTGGACGCTGGGCTGTGCCCGAGTAACCCAAGGTGCCTACATTGTGATCAGAGCAATGGATCTCTAATCACTATTGATATGAGAGACTTAAAATATGTAACCTATTATTCAAGAAGTAAAACAACAAAACGCATCAAAATTGAAAAAAACAAAACAAAAATTACCTCCGTAAGTTCAAGTGACGAGCAATAGAAGATCACAACAGGGAATATATTCAACATACTTTGGCAAGATAAGCATCAACGTACAGGGCTAGAAATAAATTGTATGAAAAAAATTTGTTGGAATATCAGACGATTCCATGATTTTCTAACTGTCTTAATCAAATGCAGCCAATATATATTCCAGCACCTGAAATCTCATGTTATTTCCTCCATATGTGCAGCATAAAGCACCATGCTTCCTGAAATTTTAGTTTAAAGTTGAAAGTACAAAGGAAAATTGTAAAGCTGTCTCGACTCATATTCTAAGCAAACAAGTGGAGCTGTCAATCCGGAAGAAAAAAAAAACCTCAGATACCTGAAACGACATGCTTTGTGTCACCTCAAGTTTAGCCGAACATTAAATATCATAAGAAAAATAGAATCCCAGATTCTATGATGGAGCTGAGATGCTAAAGCGAAAGCCAGTCTTCCCACGGTCATGCTCCAATTGCTTCAGTATATAGTAGTAGTTGCACTGACAACAAAAAACAAGCTTGTTAAAACCTAAGACCATAGGGATCTGCTAACTAGGCAACCAAATGAAAAACAAGAACCAAACACATACACATGAACTCAGGTCAAAATAGCAAGCACACACATGAAGACAGGCACATGCACATTTCTCACTTTTATGGAGTTAACTTGTGTGGCTCACGCAAGAACAGACCATTTAATCATAACCATTTCCAAATATTTCAAAAGCATTCCTGATTCATAATTACCCACCGCTATCATAATTACCCCAGCACAATAGCAGATCAGTTAATGGAAAATTTGATTGCTACAACTCCCAACCCTTCTTCTCCCAAAAAAAAAAAAAAAAATCAGATTTACAGCCCAAACCAGAACTTAAATTTATTGTTTTTTATTTAAAAATCAGATTATATAACTAACCTCAAGGCGGAAGAATTTTGTAGGGATAACAACCCCAGCTCCTACAGAGCTTCGAAATGACTGAAGGAACTTCGGGACAGAAAAGTTCCGGAACTCGTTCTCAGTCAATTTTGCGAGATTCCCAGCACCTGCGAAAATATGTCCATGGACCCCATGTTCTTTTAACCAGCGAAGTGGAAGATCAAATGAAATGTCTGCAAACGCAGAAACAGCAAGATCTCCTCCAATAGAATCTCTTCCAGACGATTCTGAATTCTCATCAGTGGAATTATCTGTGACATGCCTTCTTGGTTCAGTAGGTCCTAGTCCCCTTGTCTTGAATCCCCACACTGTCGTAGGGCCGCCCACAGTGCAAACCGCTCTGGAAGGGATGAGGGCTTGTTCAAGAATCCGGTCCCCCATGGAAAAATTACTCCTGCGGAGATCCCAAAGTTAAGTGCAGCATGATAAAATCCAAATGGGACGGCAAAACGAAGATCAAACTCCTGTAGCAAACAATAAGAGAAGAAAGTTAATAATCACAATAGGAGAAGAAAAAAAGTGGAAATAGGGCAATCCTTAATTTGGTTCTTTACAAAATCCGCATATAGCCATAACAATAGATCATCTGATTTGAATCTTCTAAAAATTATAGGTAATTTGCACAAAAAAGCTTAATGTGTTAAGTCCACAACAGGGGCTTCTGAGATCGCCTACTAGAAAAATAGGACTGCAGTAATGGTTATCACTCAAGAATATGAAATAGAAGAGCCAGTCCAGACAGGAAATATCAGAAACATCTCAGTACTTAATCACAATCCCAGGAAACAGTTTATACTTAATGATAATCTAATAATGAAATTATGATTTATAATATTTATAGATCTCCTAAGTACAGGGCATATACGAAGTACAATCAAGAGCATTTAACATGAACATACATATATTTTCTTTCCCTTTTACCTTCATCTTTTAGGCTTAAAAGAGAAATTAAACTTGCCAGAGTCATATGAGAGACTAAACAACAGTAGAATCCCAACATGATAAAAGAAATTATAACATTTTTTTAACAATTTGACCACATGAATTCCATGAACAAAAATACAAAATCAATTGCAATTCAAATGCAGGCAGCTGGTTGCTTGATAGTCAACAGAGAACCAAAAGAAAGCAGAGAATGTGTACTAAACCTGCCGCAAGAACCGCATACTCCGATGATCGGGTGAAATGCCACCAATGTGACTAGAAGAAACAAATGAATAACCTTGAGTTGGCCTCAAAGTGGAATTTCTTCTGTCAATCTTAAATGTGTACTTGATAGATGAAAGTAAGCCATGACCGAGCTGCCTTCTTATTGACCTAGAGGCTATTTGTGATGGATCTGCCAGAGTACGCCAACCAAGATTGTATACCAAATCATGGTGCTTGGATGAAAATAAGCCAAGAGAGAGCCCCAACATGCGCTCTTTATAAGAAGAGAACTCCAGCCAATCTTGGGAAAGCAGGAACGCGCGTGCCGTCACAGGAGTTAAAAAACCTTTGAATCTGGGCAAAAACACACCGGCACTTAACTCCGATGTTTGGCTGGGACCATATGCCAAAGAACCATCCCACAAATCCCCATATCCAAGCAGATTTTTGAACTTAACTGATCCTTCAGCTGTCCAAGACCTAGCCTACAAAAATATTATACAACTCTGTAAGTCATATGAGGGATAGCATGGTTAATACATACATATGTTTACACTTAAAAACAAGAGAACATAACATATTTGGCATCTCAGCTTCCATATGTGCATTCATCACTAAAAATGCACCTCCTGATAAAACAATATCATGAGCCTTAAAACCGACTAACTGGGAGTATAGACACAATTATGTTTACCGCAATATTTGTGGATATGTGAGATAAATTTTACATGTACGCCGTCTCGTTCACTCCTATTTGTGCAAATAATTACACCATGCATATTTGAATTCACATTTGAACTCTATAATCAGAGTTTGCTATTCACAGTCCTAAAGTAAGCTAAGCCTGTTTAAGAAGTCCATGAAAGTATAATAAATACATGCATATACTTGTGTTCGTCTCGAATACCATCCACATTTTCGTTTCGACCAATTCCTCAGCAACCAGACAGTCCCATAGCAATTCCACGTACTAAACCCTAATCTCACCAATTCAGCAAAACAAACGTATATATACGAATACACACAAACACAGAGCAATAAAGAGCGTACCGCCGGCTTCGTGTAAGCACCGATTTCGCCGGAAATGGGGCTCTTGGTCTCAACGACCTCCACAATTACATTGGCAGTTCCAGGAAGCTCCGGCGGGCCTGAATCAAGAGTGATCCGAACCGAATCAAATATCTCCAGCTGCTGAAGCTTCGCATTGGCAATCCCAGCGGCCTCGAGCAGCTCTTGCATGGTGGTAGCCTTCTTAATCCCCTCCAATTCGACCTCGATCAAGTGCTCCTTAGTCTTCGTGTTGCCCTTGATCAGAACATCGTGGACCCTCAGATCGACTCGCTCGGTGGACATCCGGTGGACCAGGTTCTCCAGTTTGGACTTCTCCGCACGCAACCGTGCCTCCTCGGAGAGGGGATTTCGTGGCAGAGATGGCTCTTGGTCGTCTTCGTCTTCGCCTTCCTCGTCTTCGTCGTCATCGACTTCGTCGGGTTCGGGTTCGTCGTCGACGGTGACATTAGAGGGACGTTGGTCGTCGTGGTCATTATTAGGGTTTTGGTTTTCTGAGTCTGAGTTTGCCATTGGGGGAGAGATAGAGGTGGGAATGGGTGAAACGAGCGGCGGTGCTGTTGAATTTTGAAGGCCACTCAACAGTTACTTGCTGCAGAGTGTGTGATTGTGTGAGGCCTACTCTGTTTCTCTTGGGCCTTCGAAGCCTTTTTTCTTTCGCGCCTTGGGAGCCTTTTTTTCTTTTCAATAAGTATTGTAAATGTGATGATACTCTTTTTCTTTATCTCTTTAAAAGAATTGATAGTAATGTTTTTCAAAACCCTAAATTTAAAATCATATACAAAAATGAAAGGGCATTTATATTGAGACGATATCACAAAGCGAAGAAGAGGTAGGATAACTGATTTTTTGTAATAGACGATATCACAAAGCAGTGAAAGGACATTTAAAATTTCTGTCTTATATGTTTCGTTTACGAGTGATATGATGTATTTAATTTTCATCTTAAGGCTTTGTACTCCATCAATTGACGTGAATTGTTAAATTTCATGCATATCTAATACATATTAAAATTGGTCATAGAGATTACAATTACTCAAAAGGTTACACTATTATGTTTTAAATTTATACTTTTCATATTTTGTTATTTAGAGTTTAGGATTTGTAAAGCAATTTTGATTTTCTAGTTACTACAAGAAAATAGAAAAAGTTTCAGCCTAAAGCCCAAAAGGGCTCATCATTCAATGATTATGGGCTAGGCTGGGCTTTCCCGGGGTCGTTTTCTGGGACCTTGGGCGAAAGGGCTCCTTAATTCAAATTCAAATAAAACCTCCCTCCTCCTCCTCCTCCTCCTCGTCCACCTCCTCCACCACCACCACCACCACCAACATTACCGGCATCCATGGCCAACAACGATCTCTTCACATCGTTAATCTCAGAAATCAAAGCCTATTCCGGCAAAGACCCTCTTCTCCCTTGGCTAAGGTACCCTTATCACCCGCATCTCTTCATCCCCATCATTTGAGATTGTATTCTTTAACCTTTTGCTTATATAATGTGGTTGCAGAGGGATTCGAAGAATGAACGACTCACTCCCACCTCACACTCTAAAGGAGAAGCTGCCTCGCTTCTTGCAGAAATGCGCACAGACTTTCGAGTCCGATCGGCGATATCGAAATGACTTACGCTACATTCGAGTTTGGTTAAAGTTGGTAACTTATCTGTCCCCTTTCTTTGTGATGATGGGTTTCTGGGACGTGTAGATTTTTCTTCATTTCTTAGTTTCTGTTTGGTCAGTGAGAAAATTGAGGGAGGACGGTTTTGGAATTTTATGCAAATAATTGCACAAGGATCAGTCCAGTGGAGTTGGGTAAAGATTCGGTTTTTACATTGTTTCTTTTTTGTTTGTTTTTGTGGAATAGATGGATTTTGTAGATGATCCGAGAGCATTGTTGAGAACAATGGAGGCTAACCAAATTGGGACAAAGCACTCTCTGTTCTATCAGGCATATGCTCTCTACTATGAAAAGAACAAGAAATTTGAGGAGGCTGAAAAGATGTACCACTTGGGAGTGCAAAAGTAAGTATTCAGCATTTTGTTTATTGAGTGTATTGTGATGCTCTCAGTGTCTGAAAGAAATAAAGCCATACTGGCTTTTCCTTCTTTTTTGTAGCATTGGTTAAGTTGTTTAGCTAATTTGCAGCTTGGATGCCAACTTGTAATTCAAATTTATAGTAGACGTCAGACATTTGACCTATAAATGACAGTAACTTGAATGTTCAGAAGTCTAGTTGATCCTTGAGCTAAAGTGCTTTATAATTGAGATAGAACACAATTGATTTTCGCAATCGGTTTAACATGTATTAGTTGCCGCTTTTATCAAATGAGTTGCTTTCTTTGATGCTAATGGTTTGAAATGGACTATTTGTTCCTCCCATTGCAATAGCTACTTGAAAGGTTAAAGTGGTATGTATGTCTCTGAAACTTGAACGGCTGTTGTATTTACTTCTTACAAACTGTTGAACAGGCTTGCAGAGCCCATTGGAGAGTTAGAGAAATCGTATGAGCAGTTCCTTCGTCGCCTGGAGAGACACAGGAGACACCGAAACCAGGTAGTTTCCTTCTCTCTTTTTTCAGTTGTATAGCAATTTTAGTTTCTGTTGGTCAGACTATAACCCTAAAACAATGTTCTACAGTGCCAGGAAAAGAGAACAACAAAAAGGCTCTTGTCAGATAGGAGTATCCCTCATGCGTGCAGGACTGGGGCCAGGCCTATAGAACCTGAGCATGATGCAAATATAAGTAAGCATCAAGTGACTGCTAAAATAGGGCCAGATGAATCCAGGATGTTTGGCAGTGATGATACAGTTGTGGTGAAGTTTGTAGACACTGCCATTGTTGGAAAGTCTGAAGCAGAAGATGCATGTCACCATGGATTGGTGGATCCTACAATAAACATGAAAGAGGCCATGAGCGCCATAAATAACATGTTTCGAGAGCCTTTAGAGACAGCTCCAGTTAGTAGAAGATCACGCCAATGTCAAAGGAAGGACGATAATCTGTGCAACGGATTCAAGGTATTTGTTGATGAAAACTTGGATAATAGAGGCAAATCAGAAGATAAAATGGAAGAGTTGAGTTTTCCAGTGCTGCAGCATAGGAGAACTGCTACCCAGCAGTCTCACCAAGAACCTTTAAACATTTTCATTGATGATGATAAAGATAGCCCTGATCAGAGTGATGTCCAAAATTCGACAGAAGATTCTACCTCACCTGCTTCACATGGAAATGTTTTTGTGTTTCCAAATCCAAAAGATCTTCCAGGTGAAAGCTCTGGTGATTTGGATCTTGGAGGCTCATCTCGACCAAGGTTTAGAGAGGATACCATGGTTTGTAGGTTTGTTGGGTCTACCATTTTGGATGAGCCACAGGTGGAAAATGTTTGCCACCATGGTTTAGTAGACCCCACGATCAACTTAAAGGAAGCCATGGATGATATCAATAACATGTTTGGGAAGCCAATGGAGTTTGTAAGGAAGAGGAGAGTGAAGAAGCAGGACAAAGGAGTAGATAGAAAAAATGATTTTGGTGGCTTTTCTATACTTCCTGATGATAACTTGGACAATAAACAAGAGAAGAAAATGCCAGATTTACCAGGAAGATCAAGAGATGCTGATTTGTTTGAGGCCACTGTAACAACAAAGGAGGCCATGGATGAGATCAATAAGATGTTTGGAATGCCCTTGGACTTTTAGGAACAATTTCAATTTTCAACTGCTATGTGTGTAATGCAGATTTTCGGATTTGTTGTTTTAAAATTTATTGAGTTGTGCTCCCCATTTAACCCTTGTACTTGAAATTTGGAAATCTCAGCATAAACAGATTTGTGCCTTTTTTTTTTTTTTTTTTTTGTTTCTGTGTACTTTTGCTATCTTAGTTTCCAATTTAAGTCGAAGCTGAATTATGCCTATAATGCCATTAAGTTTGTACCCTATTTACTTTCACTGTCAAAAGCATAGAAAAGAAATGGGCAAATGAAACATGTCATTTCATCACTCTGCAGTACAAACCAATTTATTCAAGAAACAAAGCAACTGCTGCAATGCGAATACAGTTACATTTAGAAAATAAAATTTTGACAAAAAGAAAGAAAGTAGCAAATTCGGTTAAAATTTAGGAGAACAATTAATCAGGGAATAGCTGGTGTGCCAAATCAAGAGTGAGTATTGGAGCAATGAGAAGGACGGAAAGCCAAAGGCCCTGCAGCATATATAACTGCCTCATAATTCCTACCCAACAATCTCTTGTTTTCGGAATGAAGAGGGGCACCATAGAGACCGTTATTGACATTACTGAGGTCACTGCAATTGGCAAGAGGAGAAGAAACTAGCTTCACATGGCACCCATGGAGGGGATGGTCCAATATAGAATGCGCCATTTTGAAGCCTTCAAGCTGAGCATAGAAGTAGCCTTTAAGGTCTGTGACAAAAGACTTGTAGAAGCTGACTTGGTCTTTGTGGTTTTTGCAGATGACACTGACTTTAGCTGAAGGGATTGGCTCAGCATCAGTCAAGGACCATGTTCCATAGTGGTCACAACTCTGGCAATAGATCATGCCTTCCACCACCACGTCGATTTTCTTCTGCGCTTCCTCAGGCTTTTTCGGGTCATATTCAGTGGCTGCTATGGAAGGGAAGGCCAGTGGGATGAGGAGGGTTGAAATGAGGATTATAAGTTGCCTGCTTGCCATTTCTTAGGAGATTGGGTAGTATATATAGCAAATTATTGGATGATTGGTATATCTGGTGAAACAAAGTAATGTTATTGGACGTGGGGGCTGCTAAGTCGCATGTCAACGATCTGCAGTATTCCAATACGTGAGGGCCATCTCTCTTATGATGAAAATAATCCTGCTTTATAATATGTCTTTTATTTATTTATAAGTTGGCTGTAGGCAATCGTAATGATCCAAGGTCTGTTATTTTTGGGTTGTATTTGGTATTACTTATAAATGTATTTCCAAAAGTGCAAATTAATCTGGATTTAACTTTCCCATGGATATCCAAAGCTAACAAGAATACTTGTAAGGCAGCAACATGTTTCCAAAACTCATGTTTGGCCTTCTGAAAGGTGCTTTCTCATTAAGTTCATCATAGATGAATGAACAAAGAAACTAATTGATAGGTTCATGTATTTTTTATGCCTCTTTTACATTTTACTATTAAACAAAAATACTATGTTTTCCAGCCTATTTCGATTATATACAAGTAGAATTCTATCACCCTGCCATAGATACAAATCTCTATCAACTTAAGGGTGCTGCTTAGTTGGTGCCTTGCCAGCTACAGAAGATGAAAACGTGCCCATGTTCATACTTACAATCAGGACTCTTCAGCTTCTAGCTTCCATCTGGAGACAACAGTTCAAGCTCTGCCCACCAAAGGGGGGAGAGTTTTGGGGTTGCCCCATCAGGTGAAATTCCAGTTATTTCTCTCAATCTTGCACTGACTTCTCTCATTGGCGGTCTTTGTTTCGGGTCGGGGTGGACGCAAGATCTTATTACTTCTCCGATTCGATCCAGCTGCTCCTCTTGGAAAGATTCTAGAGTTGGATCAACCATTTCTTTGAGGGGTTGCTCACCTCTCAAGTAGTCAGAAGCCCAGTCTTCAAGTGAGCCATTGTCCACTGAATAAGGAAGTCTGCCTGTTACCATTTCAAACAATATGACACCAAAGCTGTAAACATTACTTTCTCTGTTTGCTAATGGTGTGTTAAAAAGCTTTATGCCAGGTGATTCTTTCTCAGCTTCAGCTGTCTCGTTCCAGAAACTATATTCTGAGACCTTTGGCGCATAATCCTCCGTTAGCTGGACAGATGAAGAATTCAAGTTGTTGTGAGCTATAGGCGGGTTCAGCTGGTGCATATAATCGAGGCAGTAGGCCACTCCCATTGCTATTCTCATTCGCATTATCCAATCCAAGTGCTCAGCTTCTTTTACTGCAAGTTCATTAACATTAGTTTAGATATCTCATGCATTATTAGCGCACACACACACATTTAAGGGGAGGACAATAAGAAGAGTTTCCTGTTAAGTTCAGAAAGATCTAAGAAAATTTCTACCATAAACATACGCCTATCCATGTAAATAATAAAAAAGTAGCTTTGTACTCACTGTGTAAATGCTCAAAAAGTGTCCCATTGGGAGCATATTCAAAAACCATCATTCTAGTGAAAGGTTCTTCTTCCTCACAGTACCCAATAAGGCTGACAAAATTCTTGTGGCTCACTTTTGATAATGTTTTGATCTGAAAACATAAGCATTAGAACAATTAGGGCCCGTTACTGTTACTGTTAGACCACATGAAACGGGCATATCATTTTCTAACTTTCGCTTGTTTAATACCTTCTTCCTGAACTGCAACTCTAAATTGCTGCACCAACACTTAGCAGATGTCCCTACAAGAGAAGCCACCGCAATTTCAACGCCACTAGACAAGGTCCCTTTGTACACTGTACCAATTGGTGAAGAACCTATTACATTACTGAAATCTTCACAAGCCGCTTCAAGCTCTGATCTCTTAAGATTTGGTACCCCTGCAATGGAAGTTTGATTTCATGTTTAATTAAAAGAGACACATAACTGGCAACATGAACATGAACAATGTATCTAACAGATGGGGTTGGGAAAAGGATAGGCAAATCTGCCTGCTTTGCAACACGACACACCTGCTGCACCAAATTGCCAAACCCTTAGGTTCGCACCATTTAAAACTTCTGGAGCTACTATCATCATGAAGAGATGATTTACCTACCATTTTCACCAGTATTCACAGAATATTAAACAACTCAAAGTTGTCATACTTAATGCTTGTTTGCTCCCGTTATGCACGTAACTTGATATAGCAGCCGAGATGTTATTATGCATACACAATTATTTTTCATTATAGAACTTAGATTTACATAAATTAACATTTTCTGTTACTTAATAAGCCTTACCAGTGACGAAGGCTTTTTGGAGCTGTCCGCTTAATCCTGTGGCCCAAGGTTTGACAGTAGCTACCTTGTTGCTTTTATAGAGATACATAACAATGATTGAAATTGCAAGAGAAACAGCCACGCCTGTGCCTCCAGTCAATAGCGCGACTTTATTCTTTGATGCGAAACTTTTGGAGCTTGCTACTGGAGCAGAAAGTGAAGGTGAGGAAGCTGGTGGGGTAGGTGGGGAAGTTGGATTCGAGTTGGATGATGGTGCAGGTGCAACGTCACTATTTGGGGAAGATGCCGGACCATCTGGGCCTGAGTCTGAAGCAGAAGGTTCTGGCTCTTCTGGCGTTGGTGTTTTGTTGGGCTTAAATAGATCAGAGCTAAGCAAATTTTTAGCCTCTAGAGGAGGGACAGTTGCTGCTCGGAGCACTCTCCCATGAATAGAGTGTTCAATATGAGCGAGGTTCCTATAGCAAAGATAAAAGGCAGCATCAGATAAAACAGACGATGCACTATTTCTAAATACATAAATATTTCAAGAGAAGTCACTAAGAGCATATAATTGAGACTAGAGTATTCTATGATGAACAGTAATGAACTCCTTTTTTCCTACATCATTAGTCCTGCAAAGCCTGATTGAAATTACATACCATGAAATGGATCTTTCATTGCAAGATGATTCTCTGCCTGCACCAGAAAGCCGATTCTCATCAACTTGAAATTCGGAAAGAATTTCCAGGTTGTGAATTTCAGGAGATAAGATACCAAGAAGCCTGTTGTTATCCAGTAGGCTGCATCGTGAGCAAAAATTGATTATTATACATGTATGGGACAAAATGATATAGAATAGATAGAACTGAATGTTCGACAGGTAAACCTACAGGATTGCCAACGAAAAATTGCTGCCAAGGTCAGCCGGAAGTGGTCCACTGAAGTTGTTGTATCCTAAATCTAACACCTCCAATTCCTTTAACTCTCCGATCCCTCCAGGAATGGTCCCCGTAAAGGAATTGTTGCGCAAAATACTGTACGAAAACTTTAGTTTAGCAGGATGCACCGGAGAAAGATCTCAAAGGAATGTACTGTAAATCATTACACATCGAGGCAATGATAACAAAAATGCTTACATAGACTTTATATGGACAAGGTTCCTGAGCTCAGGTGTTAACGTTCCACCAAGACAAAGATCTTTTAAGTTCCTGTGCATCATATACATCTAACTTTAGAATCAAAACGGTTAAAGTAGCAAAAAAATGAATGATAAGTTTAAAACAATGGCAGTACTACCATATTAAACAACTTGACATTAGTCATCAAGTTCAAGTTTTTGATTGATTTGTGATAGAATTCATGATGTCCACTTTTTCCTTTCAGAGCTTCTATTATGTCCTTGAATTAAAAACACAATGAAAATCCCATGTACTCATGGCCAGTTCATGGGCCAAAAGAGAAGAAGAACGCTTTTTGAGTTATCTCAAAACTTCCTATCTTAAGAATTATATCTTCATAGTCTCAACTTATCATTCAATATATGAATGGAAAAAGAAGGAAAGAAAATTACTCACAACACCACAACTTTTCCATCTGCACACTCGACCCCGAACCATGAGCAAGGGTCAACCTCTCCATCATCATCGTTCCAATTCGACAAAGCACCAAACGGGTCACTGACTACTCTATCTCTAAACCTCAATAGCGCCAAACCTGCACAAGAAACAACAAACTCTTTTTAAACATTTTCCTTCACTTTCTCGACGACCAAACAGTAAACACTTCAACACCAAAAGCCCAGCAGCTCAAACTAATCCCATACCTTCATCATTCAAAGACCAACAAAAACTCAAATTCTGAATCAACAAGCAGACCACCACCATACCCAGCATCCCCAAACGGTCCTTCAACCCACTGAACTTCCACTTCTTGTTCATTTTTGTCACGATCGACGCAAACCCAATCAAAATTTTCACGAGCCTGAAAGCAAACAGAGGTAAGCCAGAGCAAACCAAGCTCAGAACTTTGAACTTATCTTTAATAAACAGAGTTAAAAAGGCAAATGAGTAAAGATCAAAAAACGTGTTCTGGTACTTGCAACTAATTTAGACCCCCCAGAAGTGTTTGAAAACGCGTACCCTGCAATACATGTGTTTGATTAATGAAAAAGACCTAATTTTTTATCTGTTTTTGGAGTGAGAATTAAACCAAACCAACCCAGAGGGTATAGCAATTGCCAAAAGGGAACGAACCCAAGTGAGAATGGGTCCAAGAACTACAGCTCACGCCAGGTTTTGGCAAGTGAGAGCTACTAAAATGGAGGAAAGGTTGAGACTTGAGACGAGCGCGTTTGGATTCTAGTCAAGAACCGGCGAAAGACTCGTGCCGTACGTCATCGACAAATAGACAACGAGCACGTCAGCTCAAAATTTTAAAAAATAATTTAAATTTTTAAAGGGAAATAAATAGACGACGGAGACAGTGTTCGTGTCTTCATCTTTATTGACTGAGTAAAACAGTCTTTTCTGGATAAGTCTTTGAGTCGACATGGTACGTTCCGCGAAATTTACAGCATTCAACCAAACAATTCTTTTGTATTTGTATGCTTAACAAGGATCTTCATAATTTTTGTGGCCTTCCACATTTGCCCAGATAGAGATTTTCCCAAATATGATCTGCAGAATTCTCATCTACTTTTTGCTTGAAATATGTTTTCCCAAATTCTCAGTTATGTTTTAGAATGTAGTAAGATAAAGAGTTTGTTCTGAAAGGGAAGGAAAACCAACCATGAAAATAATGAAGATGATTGGTTCTAAAATTAAAAATAAGATCATGTACATTTATGTGGCTCGTGCTTGTGCAATAAAGTTTCTCTCTTGTTTTGTTGATTGGTGGTGAGCAAACCATTGACTTTTAGATTTCAACCCTTAATACATGAATTATGTTTCTGTATAAGATTAGTCATACAGTTCACACAGTCAGGCCGCCTATCCCCAAAATTTTAATATATATTGAAATTTTTAAGTGAAGAATTAGCAAGTTAGTCTAATCAGATCACCATCCATGATCCATCCGCAATTTATTTTGTCTAGTATAATATACATAATTATCGTCATCAGCTGGAAAGATTGAACATGATGATGTATTTGATATTGTCCCACTTCCAGCTCTTGGAATTGATAGGTTACTAAACCACTTTGCGTGCACATGTGTGCTGCGTATATCACAATTCACAAGCAAAAGGTTCACATGATGTGACGGTTGATGCGTACATACCACATCATGTAAAATACTAGTTTCTGTTTTTCTAATTTTATTTATTAAAATACACTTCATTCATTTAATTGATACAGTATATGATATGGATATGCCACATCATGTGATATAAAAATATAAGATAAAAATTAATTTCAAGTTTTCTTATCTTTTATGATTTATTGACACTTTTTAATTGATGTGATTGTCCACTTCATCTGCCACATAAGGTAGTATGAAAATATGGGATATAAATGTGGTAAGTGTAGCATTACTCTAATTGATATGGTATATAATATGAACATGCCACATCATATAATATAGAAATGTGGAATAATAATATGGTAAGTGTAGCATTACTCAAACCGGAATGTGCAAAGAAAGCAGTTTGCAGCCCATGTGTTTGAAAAAAGTCCAGACTGAAACCCATGTGCCGGGAAGTCTTTAATCAAAATCCACAACAAAGCCTCGACTAAGTCCAAGGATCTATGTGAACCGATGGGCTTGCCCAAGCAGCCCACTTTTTTAAAAATTATTATTATTAATATTTTTCTTTTTCTGGTTGATTAGTCTTCAAGTGTATAACGTATTAATATTAAAATATACCAAAATTGACTAAAAAGAAAGAATTTTTTTAAAAAATAACTAAATTACCGACCGGTATGGTAGTTGATAGGATTTTAAAAAACAGACAATTTTGATGTAATATTAGTAGCTTTTCTATAACAGATAATATATACCCTATTTATATATTCTCTTAATTCATTGAATTTAGAATTTCAACAGTATCTCTTGACCCAAATAAAAAATAAAAAATTCAACATTAACCCTGCCCACACCCACACCATCTTTTAAGTTCTAGACATCACACTATTTTCTTTAGTATGCAATGCATGTTCATAGAAAATATTAGAATGCTAAAAAGACAACATGTTGCTGGCAAAGGAAAAAACAAAGAAAAAGACAAGATGCTGAATTGAAAGAAATGCACCAATATAAAGTCGCAAAATGAAATATTTTCTGACAAATTATAATGTTATGACACAACTAATACCCCGATAGTTGTAACATTTTCAATGACATATGAAGTTATAAAGTCCAAAACAATCTTTTCAATTAAACAAAAAATAATATTTATAATAACAAGCGACTTTCATTCAACAAACAAAGGCATCGAACAAGACAATTTGGTTTCCTTAAATACCAAAATGCTAATTTAATAACAAGATAAAATAAAATTCTTGTTTCATTAATGAATCACATTCATATCCCTTGAACTAAGCAATTAACATTCTTTGGCAAAAAAAAACTATGCAATTGAAATTTTAAAAAATAAAAACCTATGCAATTAACATAACAAAGAAAAAATAAGAAAAATAATAACTGTGTTTTTCTTTTTTTCTTTTGTTTTACAGTTTAATCTATTGGAGGATTGAGAGCTATACTTCCTTGTGTCGCCGTCGCAGTGGGGAACATGAAGGGCACATAATCAAACCGTTGACGTTGCATACCGTACAAGGCCTGAACCCACCCTTGTCACTATAGACCTTATGGCTCCCATTACATTTTTGACAGAGAACAAATCTGAGCCCTCCACAAAAATCACAGGCTCTGGGGTCCACCACTGGGAGCCCTTGGATCAGTCTCTTCAGTTCACCACTCTCATGGAGCTGCTTCACCTCTTCGGCCCCACCAATGAACAGCCCGCCAATGAAAACCATTGGCAGAGTCAAAGTCTTATTCCCCGTAATCTCTTGCAGCTCGTCTAAAAATTTCACGTCCATCGACAGATCTCGCTCGTCGATCGGGGCGCGGAACCCACGGAGGATTGATCGGACGGTCTTGCCATCCTCGAAGGTCCTGCGCACGACGCGAAGGCTAGTGTAGTAGATTACGACGCGCTGGTCACCGTCGGGTAGTTTGGGGCTGTGTGGGGTCGCGTTTCGGTGGGCCCACAAGCGAAGGACTGACGTGGATATCTTGACCCGGTGCAATATGGAGGCGCTCCTCGGGCTGAGGGTTTCGGATTCGGGTTGGGGTTCGCAAAGGTTTTGGATGTCTTTGAAGGATGAGCAGGAAAAACTTCTCTGAGATCGTGGAGCTCTGGCTGTGTGCACCCTGCTTGGTGATTTTAGCCATGGTGCCCACATGGTACGAGAGAGAGAGAGAGAGAGAGAGAGAGAGAGAGAGAAGAAAAGGTGGATTTTTGTGGGAGGAGCGGGAGAGGAGGGTGCTTTACTGTATAGTGTGTCTTGGTGGGTATCTTCTTAGGGCTATTTAAGCAAAGCACAATAGGAATTAGGAAGCCCTAATAAAGTATGTGATGTTAAGTAGGTTCTGGATAACAACACGAGACATCTTTAGAATTTAAAAAATAAAAATAAGAATTTCAAAATAGTTTTCGGTTCATTAAAAAATATGATGTTACAACTCATCACAGTACATCGAATATATCAAAAAATTACCTGTAAATAGTAGTTAGTCAAAAAGGAGTAACATTGCCGCTTTCAAATTTATTGATTAAATTTTGCTTTAAAAATAGTTAATTTGGTGTGCTACTAGGAGATGCGAAATAATCATAGAACAAGAAACCTTGTATAGTTTTTATTTTTCTTTTTACCAACAGGAAAGAGAAAGTTCGAGCTTCAAACATTTTACAATATTCAAAGAGGAAATATCGCAGGAGTTTTAAAGTCTATTGGTGTACATGAACTTGGTGAATTTAGTAGGCATTCACAAGGGGATGGGAACCCCTCCATTCGTTTGAGAGGACAAATTTCATAATACTAATTGTGTGGTGGGCTGAGAATTGCCAGGTATATTTGCGCTTGGTTGCAAAATATGAAAATAAGGATTGACTTACCTACCTAAGTTGCTCATAAAACATTCTATATATCTGCTAATTTCAATTTACCATAGAGTTGTATTTTCCAGTTTTGGGTGCTCAGGCCACAAATGTGTGGTCCAAAAGGTATGCGTGCATGCACCCAATTAACTGTTTTTGAGCTTTAAATATATGTGTAATTTTGAGTTGTTAATTATAAACCCTATCTACACCAAAATTAAGTAACAAGGTGTAATCCAAATGCATCGAACCATTGGAAATCGGAACCTGTTTTTGTAGATGCTTATTGGGCCTCATTGCCATTTACAACCCAAATGCCTATCAAGTATCTTTGGGCTCAAAAATGGATCCTAATTTATTGTATGGGACTTGCATAGCCCAACCCAATTGTCGTTTATGTTTTCTTTTTCTTTTTCTTTTGGTCAAATGTTATGGCCCTCCTATCCATAGTCTAAAATATCGATAATATCGACGAAATATTGAGGATATTATCATTTTTTCGAGTCACAGATATTTCAAAACTTATCTATACACATATTGTATAAATATCGACAATATCGACGATAATATCGAAAAATATCGATATCGATAATTTCGCATACACTTCAGCAATATTTTGTCAAAATATTGCTATAATATCAAAAATATCGATGTAATGAAAAAAATGAAGAAAAAAAACACAAAGCACATACGCAAAGGGGATTCAAACCCCTGTTATTTCACTCATCTAATGCTTTAACCATCATGTTGCTTATGTTTTTATGATAATATGCTAAAATACGTATACTGTTATTGTTTTGTTTTGAACTGTTTTTGCAAAAATTATATTTACATGTGAGAATGTGAGTCTCTTTGACCTTTCCCTTTTGGGATGGAATCGAGTGGCTCATGGAAAGAATCCGAGACCCAATCTTCAAACGATTTTGCTTATGGACAACGTCAACCAATCTCGGATCTATATGGGTGGCATGTTAACAATTACATGCAAAACTATTTTGGGGATTTATCATTTGATATTACTCTTCACAATACACTTACTCTAAACCCTAAACCCTTTGTGATAAACTAATAGATAATTGACTAAATAAACATCCTCCAAAGTTTCAATAAAAATTTCCAAGTTTTTCTTACAATTTCCGTGGTTTTTATTCAATTTTTATCGATATCGATAATATCTCGAAATTTTTATCGAAATTTCTGTGTTTTTGGACTACTGATATTTCCAATACTATCAATATTTTAGACTTTGCTCCTATCTAATGATGTTTAGACTTAGATGATGGTGTGGTGTGCGCAACTTTTACAGGACTAGGTTCCTGAAAATTTGATGTATGGAAGACCCAAATAAAAATCTCATCAGAGTTTTGGTGGCATTTCACCCAATCATCGGAGCATGCGGTTCTTACGGCAGGTTTAGTACACATTCTCTGCTTTCTTTTGGTTCTCTGTTGACTATCAAGCAACTAGCCCGCATTTGAATTGCAATTGATTTTGTATTTTTGTTCATGGAATTCATGTGGTCAAATTGTTAAAAAAAATGCTATAATTTCTTTTATCATGTTGGGATTCTATTGTTGTTTAGTCTCTCATGTGACTCTGGCAAGTTTAATGCTCTTGATTGTACTCGTAGGAGATCTATAAATATTATAAATCATAATTTCATAATTAGATTATTATTAATGGTATATTTATTAATTAAGAATTAGAATTCTCATCAATAATTGCATTCCATCTATGAAGGATTTTTGCGTTTACTTCATATCAAAAAATTGAAAAGTAAGTAAGTCAATGATTAATAAAGACACAAGTTGTTTTTGACTTCAGGTCTGATTGCCTCGCTCGCCCCTCCTTCGAAATGTGAGCTTTACTGGTAATGAGGCTAAATTAAAAAGATGCCACCATCACAAATTAATGATGGTCGTTTTAATTGAACATCATTAATTTGTGATTCTTCAATTAAAAAGATTCCACCATTATTCAACAATCCGCAGTTTAGGTGTTTCTTGCCAATTTGCTTGGGTATATCCAGTTAAGAGATCCCATGCATGGCTAACCATTATTCTTATTTATTTTTGTCATGATGTCATGATATATATGATACCATGACCATCTTGTTGAAAATAAACTTTTATTTTCCTTTTCAGATATGAGGATTGAATTTGAAAATCGTTTGCAAAAAGAGTCTATCGAAATTCCAATGCAACTATTGTCAAGAAGAACAACGCTCCCATTGCAATACAGTGTAAGAGGGAGTGGTAAAGTGTTGATATAAACATTTTTGTTACTCTAGATATAAGAATCTCCCCATAAGCAACCTTTTGTTCAACTTTTATGGCATCGTGTCGTGGGTGGCAAGAACTGCATAGATATTATTACGCTCCCATTTTAGTTTCTTATTATGTTCATTTATGGTAAACGGTGAAACAAAAATCATCTGTACAATGAAGGGAACATCAAGTTAGTGTACCTTGTGTTTGTTCACCTCGACATGAAGGGAACATCAAGTTGGAAAGAGGACTTCAGACAGATGATACAGAGGGATGTTGAGGTTAGGGACACAGTTCTTGGGGTGGAGTACTTCTCAGATGTTTACAACTTGGAAGGACCCCAGTACTATGAAGAGAATGCACTGGGGGCATTCCTGAAGGCCTTCAAGCAAAATATGGTATACGAATATTACTTTGTATAATGCAATTAGTTTGTTTAAATTATTTGTATAATATTAAATTATCTGTGTAGTGTGCACGAATCGCAAAATGTTTAATCATGTATAGGGGGAATGATTTAGATTAACATCTACTCATCTTGGATATGTCATGCAAACAAAGACAGAATTGAGTTAACATAAGCTCTAGTCTAATGATAATTTTAGTCGAAATATCAGATTGTATTAGTTAGGCAGGTAAAGAGCATGTTAAAAGTCCAACCCGTTTAAAATAGTAAGATAATTTAATAATACAAGTTGACACCAAATCCTCGGATTATTTACTCATATTCAAAGTCTAATACGAGTGTAAGATACGAGCCCCTATTGTTCCGGGAAAGTCGTATGTCTGTATAAAATAGTCCTTTCGCTCTGAGGGTGTGTGAAGTGAAAAACCCTAACTAGCCACAGAGTATCCTCACTACGCTCACCCTGCCGCCCTCCTCTCTCTTCTCTCAGTTTCTTCACTTCTTCTCCCGGTAAGCTTCCGGCTCCGGCTCACACCAGTTTAACCTCTTGTCTTCGTTTAATTGTTGATCTCTTCTTCGTATAATTTTCGATTTGTCTTGTATATCTGAATTTCTGATTCCTGTTTTACACAGAGTGAAGGTTCGGCTTGGGGTTTGGTTTTAGAGGTTTCCTCTCTTTTTCTCTCCCGCTGACCCAGGTGATGAGCCTTTGTTTGTCGTTGTGTTTTAATAATAATTTAATTAGTGTGCTTTGATTTGGTTATTCTGGCCTTGGTTGACTGTTTTAATTTGTAATTACCTTTCTTCGCTTGATTTCTCTCCCGCAAATTAGTTTTTTCTTTTTGTTACCAGTATGGATGGGAAAGGATCCGCTTCAGCAAGTGGTAGTGCGCTACGGACTGTTGATTTGAATGTTCTACTTGGGAGGCGTACGCTGAATAAGTTCTTAGAGACAGAGAATTCCTTTGATAATAATAAAATCACTCCCATTTATCAGAGAATTTTTAGGTCAGTTTATTTTATTTATCAGAAAGGCATGCGTATATATTATTAACTGTGTGTGTGGGTGTTTTTTTTATACTCCAGATCTCTCATTGGGGCTATTTCTGAACTCGAGTCAAGAGGGATCACTCGTGGTTACCTCCAGCCCCATCAAATCATGGTTGGTGGTGGCCCAGGCTTGGCCGTTACCTAGACCAGAGGAGGACAATCCGACCGCGCCTACCTACAGAAAGGAGTTTGATTCCCTAGTACGGAAGATCCTTGGTGAACGAGACTTCTCGAACTTGGAGTTGAATCATTTTCTCCACATCACAGCTTCTGCTGCTTCTGGACGACAGAGTTTGTAAGCAAGTTATTTAATAACTTTTTTCTTATGTTTTATTTAAATCTGTTCATATAGGAGCGTGCACTAAGTAGGCCAAAGCACACACAAAGACAGATGAAATAAATAAACCCGGAAAAAATGATAGGTAATTCACCTTAATGCATGAATTTCAGTATAAAAGCCCAAATATAGGTTGAGTGCACATGGACATGCTAAAATTTCCCTAATCAGATTAAAGATAGTAGTTATCTGATCAGATTAGTTGTGTCATTAGTTACTGTTGTAACTTGTAAGTAATTAGTTAGTGCTGTTGTAACAGCTAGTACAGGTGGCTTTATCTATTGTATAGATTAGTTAGATGCTAAGCTGTCAAGGCTAATATAAAAACGCTTCTGTAATTATACGCCTGTTCGATCCTCTCTAACTTTTCTTCCAAACAGTGATTTTCCCCATCAACCAAACAGTTTTCTTCCGCTCCAATTCTCTTATAATCAACTTCAAAAATGCTTAAGGGTGAAATTGGGCATGTATCGCTCTTTTTATAAGTGTTATTTTCATTAACTGCAGATTCAATTTTAGGCAACTCCAATGGCATCCAATACTGTTGTCATCTGCTGAATTGCCCCAGTTAGTATACCATCTGTTTCTTCATCTCGACATGAAGGGAACATCAAGCTGGAAAGAGGACTTCAGACGGATGATACAGAGGGATGTTGAGGTTAGGGGCACAGTGCTTGGGGTGGATTACTTCTCAGATGTTTACAACTTGGAAGG